GGGCCTTACTCAATTTATCGGCGGCTTCTAAACAGTTCTTTAAAGACCTTAAAAGTGTGGTTTTGAACTCTATATCCAACAGTTTGCTTTCCTCCAATTCTGTCGTTTGTGTCCTGTTTCTTTGTCTCGGCATTTTTTTATGCTTCGCTGTGTCGATAGAGTGCCTTTCTGTGCTAAGTGTCCCAATTACCTGAGGTAGACACTCTTGATGCACCCCCTTGTGGGCTTTGTGCACAGTCTTGTTATGGTTAAGCCTTGATTGTTGTAGTTATCACTGTGAGGAATTGACCTCCAGGCCAATTGGCTGTGAGAATCAGCTGTGTCTGCGGTGGGAGAACTTCTGTGCTGGAGACACCCCTCTGGGGCTAGACTTGCTTCGATGGGGCTTTGGTGCTCACTGAGTCTGCCCCCTGAGTTTGTCTTTTATGGTTCCACGGAGCTGCAAGCTGGATGGTCCCACTCTGACCTCTGGGCTTCCTGGCTCCTGGATCTCTAGGGAGGTGCTAATCTAGCCTTTGCCTGAGGCTATCCAGCAAAAGCCTCCCTGCAGGGCTTGGGCGGGGCGGGTCCCAGGGGATCAACAGGGCGGGGTTAGCAATTATGGCTGCTCTCAGTCTTGCCCTCAGAGGCTCTGCTTCTCAGTGTCCCAGTAATCGCTGCAAGCCCCACGGAGAGAAAGCTGCCCTAGGGTTCTGAGCGATGCCAGACAGTCCCACTTCTCCCGTATGAGTCTGGGTCCTTAGATTCTCGCCCAGAACTGGAGCTCAGAGCCTGAGACTCCCTCCCGATTGAAAACGACAACCGTGCCCTCAGCCTCCAGCCCGCACCGCGTGCACTCTGAACCTTAGTATTTTACTTCAGCACAGCGCCTCCTCTGAGCCTCGGTATGCTTTTCTCTTTCCTCCTAGTTGTAGAACTTCCACTCAGCCAGCTTTCCTGTGGTTCTGGATGATGTCCGTTCCGTCTTTTAGTTGTATTTTTGAAGTGGTTGTTCGAGGCAGCAAACTCCCGTGTTTACCTATGCCGCCATCTTGGTTTCTCCAAAACTTTATTCTTTAGAAGGAAACAAAACCGTATTTTACACTTGAGGATGTTTTAATAATGCCTATAAAATTTTACTTATGGAATACTGTTTGGAAAATCAGACAAGAAACAAAGCCAGAAGAAATAAAACATTTACTCCTCAGGAATTATAAAGGAGAATGATTGCAATTAATTATTCCTCGAAGACAATTTTATTGTACATGCCCCAAAGCACTTAACTCAAGCTTTTAGGCTTTCTTCACACTATATAATAGTTTGGAAGTATTTGTGAATATTGTAAAATAAATTGTTGAGAACTGTTAACAAAGACCATCACTGGAAAAGGTGTTGGGACAGAGTTTCTTTTTAAGTATCCTATATAATAAAAGGCTAATACGCAAATAGACTGAATGACAGAACAACCGAACACCGGTTGCTATGATGTGCGCGGACCACCAGGGGGTGCACATGGAACATGGCAGGTGTGGGCAGCAGCGGTATGGTAGAGTAGGTGAGTGCAGGCACCAGACCAAGGCGGAGGGCCATTCGCTGTCATCGGGGCAAGCTTCTGGTGGTTACTGAAAATTCTTTGCTCCCGCCTGGTGCTCGCACCTACCGCTGGCGCCGGCCCCGCTCTCACTGGCTGCCAGTGCCCAGTGCCAGTCCCGATCGTTCGGTGCTGTCAGCGGGTGCAAGAGGCGACTGCCGGCCCTGATTGCACCTGAGGGCTTATCCATCTCCCCCTGCTCCTGAGGGGCAATCGAGGCAGCAGCCGCCGCTCGCACCCGCTGACAGTGCCCTCCCCACTTGTACCCACTGCTGGCACCAGCTCCAATTGCTCTGTGCCATCAGCAGGTGCGAGCGGGGCTGGTGCTGTTAGCGCGTGGGAGCGGGAGTGGGCTGCCAGCAGACAGAGGACCCGGGACCGCAGTTGGAGGGGCCAAGTGGGGGTGCGGAAGATGGGCTGAGACCCAACCCTATACCCACCGCAGCCTCGCATCCCACAGTTCCTTTCAAAGCGCACGAATTGGTGCACTGGGCCCCTAGTTCCTTTTATAAAAGAAGTACTAGTAATTTGTCAAGATCAAATATATATTCTTACAATTAAGACGGGAGGGAAATATGAAGTGGTAGAGAATTCTACCTTGAATTTTACTTATAAAGTACTAAGATGTATATCTTTGTGTGAGGAAGTGAAAACTTCACTAAGGAGACTGGTTTTTCAGCGAGGCAGTTTATTAGAATGCAGAGTTCTTAGTCCTTGAGCATGGTTAGCTGTGGACACACTCCGAGACGTGGTTTTGACATCTCCTGCACCACCAAGGTTCCCAGCAGGCACTCCGCAGCTCTCCTTGTTCTCAGCGTGAACCTTACATGTACGTTTCTATGCTCCTGATACTGAGAGCTGAGACTGTGAGAACACTGCCTCAGTACCCCCCTGGCCCACCCAGGAGCAGTGGCTGTGGCGCCCATTGAGGGGTCCCTGGCACGTGCCTCTTTCACTGTTTTCAAGGGGCTCGTTTGAGGCTGGGGAGCTCCTGAAACGGAGCCATGTTCCAGACTTGCCACTTAGGTGTCAAGAGAGGAAGAAGGAATGTCAGGGCCAGCATTTTCTATACAGAAACATGGGTATGAGCAGGAAGGAGAGCCAGGAATTCTCTGTAGATACGTATGTATCTAAAAGATTTACCTACTTTTCTTGATGCACTATTTTCTCATAATTAAAGAGTAACTTGAGGTAAAAAATGTCAGGGTGATCATTTCTACCAAAGGAAGCTGGTTGATAAGTAAGAGTCCTTAATTTCATTGAAAAGTAATTATTTGAAAATGCATATCTTTAACCAAAGTCTCTTAATATTGTGTATTTAAAGCTAGGAGAGAGGTATAGTATGATCTCTACATTTAATTTGGCCTATTTTTGGCAATGTTTTATGCCTTTTAAAATCTTTCGTGTCTGTGGGCACATAGGGGATTTTTGACATAACATGACATGTTTTTAAAATATGTATGTTTATTTAAGTTTATAAAATAAGAATGACGTGGATTGAAGAAAGTTTGTTAGTTTTGTAGTTCCCAGGTCTTTAAGAAGTCATTTAAATTTCCCTTAAACCAGTGGTTCTCAACCTTCTGGTCCTTTAAATACAGTTCCTCATGTTGTGACCCAACCATAAAATTATTTGCGTTGCTACTTCATAACTGTAGATGTTGCTACTGTTATGAATCGTCATGTAAATATCTGATATGCGGGATGGTCTTAGGCAACCCCTGTGAAAGGGTCGTTCGACCCCCAGGTTGAGAACCGCTGCCTTAAACTCTTTGATTTACCTTAATTTATTACCCTTAGTTTCCATGGAAGGATTCTGTTTGTTAGCTCTGATTGGCTGGAGAGGTCCTGCTGCAGTTCTTTTTCTTAACTTCCCCTTCCTCTGGGGTTAGGGAGCTGTCTCTGGATTACCTCCAGGTTTCCTCTACCCAGTAAAACCAGAAAGCCAACACAGCGCTTGAGCTTTATTTATTTATTTATTTTTTAAATATATTTTATTGATTTTTTTATAGAGAGGAAGGGAGAAGGATAGAGAGCTAGAAACATTGAGGGATAGAGAGAGAAACATTGATCCCCCTAGTGGGGATGTGCCCGCAACCAAGGTACATGCCCTTGACCGGAATCAAACCCAGGGCCCTTCAGTCTGCAGGCCGACGCTCTATCCACTGAGCCAAACTGGTCAGGGCTTGGGCTTTATTTTGTTGTTTCTTTTATATCCATAGCCACATTTCAGTGCCACAGTGGTATTTAATATGATTCTTTGTAGTCATGGGCGAAAAGAATTCACACGCATATTCGTGGCTGAGTTATTCAAGTCAGGAAGCAAACTGTGATATTATTTTGTCTACTGTTCGAGCTATGATTTCATGTCCTAAATGACTATAATTTCCAGTGATCATTTTAAGTGGAAGTTAACCAAAGAGTAAAGAGTTCATACTTGACTTTCCAAATGCCAAGTTATTTTATAATTTTATTGAAAATAATGATAGGACCAGAGAAATAGAGGAAGGGATACTAAATACCAAACTCAACTCTCTGGCTAATGTATCTGTCACACCTTAGCTGATTTTGTCCACCTTTTCACCTTCATTCCTAGAAATAAATTATTTCTTGTGAATTTTTCTACATAAAAATCTATGAAATGAGGTTTGGTAATACAGCAGAATTAAATGATGCTTTTTCCATTTCTTTTTTACCTGAAGTGAAAAATAGCCATTGCATAGTTTTAAGATTAATAGGCCTGAGGTTTAAAGGGATTTTTATGTTATTTTTAACATTTACTTTTATTGTTGAGAGTATTACAGATGTCCCCCATTTTATCCCCTTTGCCTCCATCCACCCAGATCCCACCCACCCCAGGTCTTCTTTATGTATGTTTTCTATTGTAGATGATCCAAAAATAAGACTGCAAAGTTAGCCTGTTCCAAATGAATTATGAAGTGGGTAAAACATATTTCCTGTTGAATTCCACATGTGGGTTGATAAATAACCATTCATAGTGTTAAATTGAAACCTTATTAATGATGAAAATTATCTGTGTGTCAGAAACTCTGTTTTTGACCTTTAGAAAAGTATTGATATTGATAAGGCAGCATTGTTTTTGGCTTGCTCAACCAATTGTCATTTTTACCCTGTAGCCTGGTTCAGCTTCATACTGGCATTTGTCCATGCTGTGAAATCTTGTGTATGTCATCTTAACCTTTCCACCAATCTAGTTTTCCAAACCTCTTTGGCTCATTTTTATTTTCAAAGGAGTGATAGGTTTTCCATTTGGGATTCTGTTGCCTAGAGAAACCTATTTGAAAGTACATGCCCACACTTTACTTTTCCTCATCTTTCAGGAAAGATCGCCAAGGGACAGTGAGTTGACAGGCTAGGTGGCCCTGCTCCGGTAGTCCATGTAGCACAAATCTAAGAATGGGTTGTTGTTTATCCATCCTACAATACAGTTTATCTTTCTTAACAGATGCAGTGGTAAACTTTTATGTTACAAAATAGGAAACTTTTTAGCCTCAAATAGGATAAGTTCTTGGATTAATAAATTGCCTGGTAAAGTTGGAAAAAAGTGAAAGGATTGCTTTTGTATTGTTACAGTGATTTCGAAGAGTAGCCTGAGACCTACTTTCACACCCTGTTCCACCTGGTGTGACGGCTTCATTTCCACCAGTGTCCTAACTGCTGTCTTCTTACAGCACTCACGCAGCGGGGCCCTTTCTTCAAGGACAGTACCTCCTCCCGGGTCGCCTTTCCCATGTTCATTTTCCTTCTCGGTTCTTTGCTGTCTCCTCCTTTAGTGTGCGGCTTCAACAGATGTTCCTGGGGCTTCTGTCCTGGCCCTCTTCTTATTCTGTGTGCCCTTCCTGGGTAATTGGGGATCTTTGTGTTGCCTCCCCCAGGACCTCTGGGTGGTCAGGTAATTCTGTGTCCCACTGGCTTTCCTGGCCCAGCCCCCGCCACACCTGCATCTAAGCATCCTACAGCCCGGTACCTGCCTTCCCCCGACCCATTAACCTAGCAATCTTCTATTGGGTTTTCTTGTACATTTTTTTCAATATATCTGTCACCTCAAAACTCCCATGTGCCTAGATTTTTGTGTCAGTCTCCATCTGGTCTCCCTGCCACTGACCTTTCCTAGTTTTTCACCTATCCAGGTTATCCTCCAAAGAGTTAAATCTTATACTGTCACTCTTCTGCTTTAAAACATTTCTATTGCCCTGGCTGGTTTGGCAAGGTGGATAGAGCCTCAGCCTGCAGACTGAGGGGTCCCGGGTTTGATTCCGGTCAAGGGCATGTACCTTGGTTGCGGGCACATCCCCAGTGTGGGGGCGTGTAGGAGGCAGCTGATCGATGTTTCTCTCTCATTGATGTTTCTAACTCTATCCCTCTCCCTTTCTCTCTGTAAAAAAAAATTAATAAAAAATATTAAAACATTTCTATTGACTGCCTCTTGTCCTTGGAATAAATGTTCATCACTCTTAGACTCTCAAGTGTGACATTTTTGGTTTCTGTGCCTACCTGATGCAGTCTCATTTCCTACTGCTTCCTTTCTGTGCCACCTTACTCGTGTGCACAACACTGAATGCCTCCTTCCTGTGGAAAGCTGTGTCTTTCATCACATAAGCCTGACTACTAGGCCTAATGTAATTTTCTCTCTTTGTCTGTAATTATACTTCCCATATCCTGTTGTAATTATACAAAGTATAAGTAAATAATAACTGTAAAGTGCTACAAAGATATATTGTGCTTACCAGGAACCCTGAGCAGTGCCTGGTAACTCAGGAAGTGTTTATGAAGTACGTAGATAAATGTCAGTGGCAAATTTTAAAATATTTCATGACACTGGGGTGCAACAGTGATCCTAGTCAGTAGAGGTCAGTTCTGGTCCCAACTCTGCTAGAGCTAAAGGCCTACGTGGGTCACTTGATCTGTGCCTCGGTTTCTTTACTGAGAAAAGTTGGCTTGATCTGTGCCTCGGTTTCTTTACTGAGAAAAGTTGGGTATTTCTACTTTTAAATTTCTGTGTTGCTCTTTTACCTTGCCATATATGTGGTTCCCAGGTAAAATCATTCTCTGAGCGTTTTTCACTTCATAGTCCCTATCTGTGTTTTACTTTCATTTTTTCCATGATTAGAATTCCCAGATCTCTCACTGCATGCCTTTCAAGAGAGGCACTTTTTTCACATCATTTCATTTTAATCCCTTAACTAATTTTTCTTCTCCTTTCCCCTCTCTTCATTATTACTGTTTGTTACAGTGTTGTTGGAAGGAAATAGCACCCAAGATTAAAATTTGCAGAGCTCCTATTGACGTTGATTGCTCTAATTGTAGATTTTGCCTATTTTGACCCAATTTAATATGACTTAATTAGTGAAATAGAAGTTGTTCATTAGAATATTTTTTATTAATAGTTGCTACAAAGGGGGAGGGGGTGGAAGGTTGATATTCGAGCAACTATCAAAAATAACATGGCACTAGGGATACCCTGGATACTGAATGCACATCAGTAAGTGTATTTTTAGCTGTTTGCTACACAGATTTACAGCATGTCAATCTTTCTGTGGGTATGATGTTTGATGCACGTGTACATGCAATTCTAGCCTTCTTCAAGATTGTTTAGAGCAGTGGTCGCCAACCTTTCGGACCTCACGGACCACCAGTGATCCGCAGACCACCGGGTGGCGACCACTGGTTTAGAGAAGGGTGAGTATGAGCCTCAAAACTCTAGAGCAGCAGTTCCATTTTCAACCGTTTTCATCTCATGGCACACATACACTAATTACTAAAATCCTGCAGCACATATATTTTGGCTGATCTGACAAAAAATAGGTATACTTTTCTGATTCACTCACATTGGACAGCTATTGTGTTTTTATTTGACAACCTAAGGGAAAAGAGGTCAGTGCCCCTGACTAAGCAGTCAGGTATTGCCTGTTTGGAGATTCTTGTGGCACACCTGTTGAAAATCACTGCTCTAGAGTACTCTTTCACAATTAGTAATTTTTTTAATTTTTATGATTATGTTTCTGAAATTTTTCTCAACACCTTTATTTATTTTTCAGTTGATGTTATATTTATAAAAATAGAGATATTTAAGTATTTCTGAATTTTCTCTTTAGTTAGCTATATGACCTTTTAAAAGTTGTTTTTAGTGTGATTTTTGGACACCTTTTAATCCTGTATCCTGAGCCAAAAACATGACCTACAGTGCTCTCAAATAAGGCGTCTTAAGTGAGGAACATTTTGTACAAAGAAGACCTTACTCTTTGGGTACTCAGAGTGGAAGGGGCCAATATGCATACCAGGTGGTCCTATATGCATCACCCCTTGGAAAGCCTCCTATCGCTGTCTCTTTAGGCTGTCATAACGAGGCATCACAGACTGAGTGCTTTGAACAACAGCCATTTATTTCTCACATTTCTAGAGGCTAGAATCCTGAGTCAGGTTGCCAACATGATCCAGTTCTGGAGAGAACTCTTCCCGACTTGTGGACAGCTGCCACCCAGCTGCGTGCTCACATGACCTCTTTGTGCACATGAGGAGAGAATGATCTCTGGTGTCTATTCATATAATGACATTAACCCTCTTGTCACCATCCTTATGACCTCATTTAATCTTCGCTCCTTCCTTGGAAGCCCCATCTCTAAACACAGCTCCACTGGGCTTTAGGGCTTCAATATATGAATTTTGGGGACACATACATTTAGTCTATAACATTCCACCCCTGGCCCAAAATTCAAGTCTTTTTCACATTCTTACATTCATTCCATCACAACAGCCTCAGAAGTCTTAAATACTTCTGGCATCAACTCTAAAGTGTAAATTTCAAAATCTTATCCAAATATCATCAAAATCAGGTATTGGTGAGACTCTAGGTACTATTCATCCTGTGGCAAAATTTCTCAACAGCTGTGAGCTTGTGAAACCAGACAAATTACATGCTTCCAAATACAATGCTAGGACAGGTACTGAATAGACATTCCCTTATAGAAATAGAAAGGAAGAAATAGAAAGGAAGGGGTGAGGAATCTCAAGCAAGTCCAAAACTACCAAAGCAAATTGCCTTGAATTATGAGGCTCAAGAAAAATTCTGTTTGGTTCCATGCTCAGTGCTCCAGGTCCACCAGGGGTGGCACTGTCAGCCCCATGGCTCTTTTGGGCCTCTCACCCTTCTGGCTGTGTGGGAAGGCTCAAACCCTGAGGCAGGGAGGGGCTATGTTGGCTCACCTAAATAATGAGGTGGCCCCATCCTTTGAAACCCAAGAGAAATATTCAGCCCTGCCCCCTGGACCTGTGGTGAGAGTGGCAGCCCTGATGACCTCTAAGGTAATTTTCCTTGGGGTCACTCTTCCCTTTTTGAAGAATGATGCTTTCATCATCCCTGTAGAATGTCAGAAGTCCAACAAGTCTCCTTCAACTAAAACCAACAGTGCTGCCCTAGCCAGTTTGGCTTAGTGGATGGAGTGTCGGCCTTCGGACTGAAGGGTCCTGGGTTCGATTCCAGTCATGGGCATGTACCTACCATAACAAAATACTAGTACAGTATGCTGGTGACTTAAACCACAGACATTTATTTTCTCACAATTCTAGAGTCTGGAATCCCAAGATCAGGGTGCCACCATGACTGATGTCCAGGGCAAGCTCTCCTTCCGGCTTCTAGGCAATAACCTGGCTGTGTCTTTCCTCTGTGCTCAGCAGAGAGAGGGGGGTCTCTGGTGTCTGTTATAAGGACACTAACCTTATCAGATCAGGGCCTCACCCTTATGACCTCATTCAGCCTAAATTTCTTGGAGGCCCTATCTCTAAATATAGTCACACTGCGGGTTTGAGCTTCAACATACGATTTTGAGGGCACACAAACAGTTAGTCCAGAGTACTCCTTCTTATCTGGTTTTATATAAATTTTGTCTTTCTGATGCCTTTGTATGTTTTCCTTACTTGAAGTTCTTAAAACATGGGACCTTCTAGTGCCATTCACCCTTTACAAAGCAGGAAGGCTACCCTGCAGAATATTTCACAGTGACATGCCTGGTCGCAGCACTGACACTGATCCCAGGTAGCTAGCATGCTGCACTAATTTCTAATTGTTCTCATTTCTGTGGACTATGATAAACATTCCTGGGCAGTATTGTCTAGTCCTTTTTTATTTTTAAGGGTTGGGTTTCAAATTTTTGTTTCGTGCTTAGAATTATTGTGGCTTTTGGCAAAGAATATTTTAAACTGGGTGAAAGGCAAGAAAAAATGTGGATTCAAGAAGTGAAAGCACAATTGTTTACAGTTCAGTAAGCAGTTGTGGTTAAGAAATGTGTCTGCTCATCATTACCAGATGACTTAAAATTTTATGGGGGAGCATACGTTTTAAA